CTGAGAGAGACTTCACCCTGATTCATAAGGAAAAGGGGATGGCGTATTCTCTTAGCTACTTCCTGCTGAAAAGGGATGCTGTGCGTTTCAGGGTGAAGATCTTCTCTCACTACTCTAAAAGGCCCCTTTGACAATAGGAAACACATAGACTATTATGGAAATTGATTTTGGAATTTAGATGCACTGTCTTTGTGGTTTTATAGCGGATAGCCAATTGTGGTGTGTGACTTAATCTTTTTGTCTTTCCCTTTAAAAGCAATACAGCCCTCTACTTGCTGCCTTCACTACTCAAGGTCAATCTGAGCTGACTCTGTTACTGAAGATTCAAGAGTATTGCTATGACAACATCCATTTCATGAAAGCCTTCCAGAAAATAGTGGTGCTTTTTTATAAAGGTAATCTAAATTTTGAGGTTTGTGAATACATTTAACAGAAATTCTTAGAATGCTCAAAATAACTCAAATGGATAGTTACTTTGTTCCTGGAAGAATTTTTAGTTCCACCACAGGACTGAATCTTGAGTATTTTGTAGTACATTACTAGTAGAACATCTCTAAACTAGATTATTGTTACTTTCCTTCAAGTCGGAATCAACTTAAGTTGATGTCATAGATTTTCAGAGGTGGGGGAGTGGACCATCCTTCTCCCCCTGGTGGAGTCAAACTGTGCTTCGAGTTGTCAGCATAATTCCTTACCAGTAGGCCAACAGAACTCCTTAAAAGTCTTTATGATACATTCTCCATATTCTCCAGTTCCCTTCATCAGACATAGTTACTCTTCAGTATAAAATGTTTCTTTCTATAAAACTTATTTACTGTTGGTTTTCTGTGATTCCATGTTGGGAGAGTACCCATTGTTGTTGGTTTACTGTGCTTCATGAGAACAGTCTCTTTAGTAGATGTGTTTTTTAATGTATTATTCCCTCATTCCCTAGATTTTTTTTAAATTTTTTTTTTTTTAAAGGAAGGATGAAGTGAACTTTTACATACAAATGTTTCAGTGCTAGGGGAGCTCTGGTGGCCTAGTGGCAAGGAGCTGCAACTACAATCCCAGAGCCACACGGTTCGAATCCACCAGATGCTCTGCCGGAAAAAGGAGGGACAATCTCCTCCTGTACCAGTCAGATCTGATTTAACGGTACACTCTCTCTCTCTCTCTCTCTCTCTCACACACACACACACACACACACAAAACCAACAAATGCTACAGTGCTTAAGTTTCTTGAAAGTTACTAATTTCCCTTCACTCAGATAGGATCTGGGCCATAAACTTTTTTACTAACAGAAAAGGTACCATTACACATTAATTAACAAATTAACTTCTCGATCAGTTTTCCAGATCAGTACTGTTGCCATTTTGGGCCACAATAGTTCATGTTGAGCAACATCTGATTTCTACACAGTCCATCTCAGTAGCACCCCTCCACAATGTGACAACCAAAAAAGTCTCCAAATTTTGTCAGAATTTCACAACGTGATGACCACTGTCTCTTTCACAGCTGAGGTCCTGAGTGAAGAGCCCATTCTGAAATGGTATAAAGATGCACACGTTGCAAAAGGGAAAAGTGTCTTCCTTGAGCAAATGAAAAAGTTTGTAGAGTGGCTCAAAAATGCCGAAGAAGGTAAGTTTTCCCCCTTCCCCCTTTGTGCCATTTGTTTGGTCTAGCCTGGCCACAGTATGTGTCAGCACTTGCTGTCATCTTTTATTCGGGTGCTGCTCTGTACTCATGTGCCATCAAGTTGGAACTGACCCACTAGTAGGTTTTCAGAGGCAGTTATGTAGAAAGCACAGAAGGAGATTGCAGCACAAGGGTTAATTAAAGTCAGATGGGGAAAATTAAACTTTATTGTAATGTTTATCAATGTTAAGATTACAAAATGAATATTTTTTAATAGATCCCTTAATTAAAATATAGGATGTTTTCATTTTGCTAGTTTATTATAATAAAATCAGAGTTGTAAATGGGAGCTTTTGTTTTTTGATACTGTATAATACTTGACTGCATTTTTCCCCTTTTCTAGAATCTGAGTCTGAAGCTGAAGAAGGTGACTGAATCTTGAAACTACACCTTCAGTAAAACAAACAGGAGTTGTAGATAAAATGTCATGTCTCATGTGTCCTGGTTCTTACATCTTCCTACCTCCCTATATCAAGCATGATATAAGGGCTTTCATGGCAAATTTTATTTTAACTGTTTCTATGGTTACTGGAAATGTTGGGTTTCGTTTCTAAAACCATGTTTTAAGTAGCTACAGGAGCTATAGATTTGAATCTAATGTTTCATTAGTCTTTTCAGTTATCTTCTACCTCCTGTATTTTCTACTGTAATAATGTAATTTAAGGCCTTCACAATGAACAGTCCACTTTATTCCCTGGGTTTTCTATATAAACAGTTTTCAAAATATGATTTGGTTAAAAACAATTTGTTAAAAAAATTTGTTTGCAAATTAAACTGTAAAAGTACTTAAGTCTCAGAAAGTAATGATTTGTGTGATAATTTGATATGAAATGAAACACTGGCCTATTTTATGCCCAGAACCCTATTCATAGATGGAAATGTCATATATACTAATTTAATTGATTAACATGAATCTTAAGGATTTGGACCATTGCTTGCATGTTAATATATCTTCTGGAGTTCTAAACCCCAGATGTCCTTAAATCATTTTCTTACTCACTGGTTTTTATTCTTTAGTAAAGCCATGGAGATCAAATTTGATAAGTGACAGGTGTAGGAAGATGGTTGAATTCCCAACTGAGAAACTTCTGTGTTCAGTTAATAAATTTTGCAGGCAAGCCAAGTGGGTATTCATTTCATATAGTCATTTTTCAAGTGTACTAAGAAGGTTGTCAAAGTATTTCACACAGTATACATTTAGATTCATAAAAAGGACTAGTAAAAGAGTGCTGATAAGAGAAACGACTGTTCCGAACCCAGTGAAAATATTAGGTGATCAGCCTGTTCTGATTGAGACTCTGAAGATAACTTTGTTTTCTTTTTGGCTAATAGTATTCGATGTAAAGAATGAAGTGCAATGATAAATTCTCTATCCCATTTGGACATACTGGGCTTCAGTTCTGAATATATCCACAATGGCCCAAGTATCTGACTAGTGACATATTCTAGTTGCCATTTTTTTACTGCCATGAACCAAATATTTCTTCTGTATGGTTGATCCATCTATTTTAATGGCTGCTTTTAATTTTCATCTTCCTTTTCTTGCTGCTGCTCATCTATGTAAAGAGTCAAAAAATGTGACCACATCTAGGGGCAGGGTGGGAGAGGGAGGAACTTCATGTTAAAAGTGAACATTTTGAAGGTTTTGTTATTGATGAAAGAATCTAACCTGGAATAATGCCACCAGACACTGAGTGGAAATTGCCCCTTTCTAAGGTGCCATTCTTATGAGCCAAGAATATGGTGTTTAATATGAAAAAGTTTTCTTAAGGGAATAACGTGTAATATAATTTGAAATAAAAATATAACCTTCTGAAGAAGAGAATAATTGGTAACATTGTGAATGGGATTAATTTGTCAAATGAACAACTTTGATAAAATTTTCCTGCACAGGCAAAATGTATTCAGTAGGTTTCTACATAGTAATCTGCTTTTATTTTGTGATTTGTAGTCCTCAAAAGACTTTTTTTAAAAAATAAAATCCATCCTTACACTTAAGTTCTATAGGTCATTTTTTTGTTAAATTCCATGATATTTTGTTAACTCTCATTTGGTACTGTATGCCATGCAATCAGATATCTTTGCTGTGCATTAAGGAATTGTTCCTTTCATCCAAGTTGTGACTCCCAAACATAAACACAAAATCTGATGTAGTTGAAACTACATTTACATATTTCTACAACCAAATCATTGCATGTTACTGCTGTACAAAATGTGCCCTGTTTTATTATATACTGTGTATAGTGAACGAGTGTAGTCTTCAAGCACTACCTTATGATCTTTGTCTGATCATAGAGTTTTTCCTGCATAAAGACACAGTAGTGTTTATTTACTACTACAGTATTATAGTAAATGGGTAAGTTAGTTACCTGTAACAGTGTGGTGTAAATGAAAGAGAATACTTTTTTAAAAGATGGCAGATTTGTGGGGGCGGGGGTGGGGTGGGGTTGGGGGTTTTTTTCCCCTTTTTTTATTTTGGAATTCAGCTGCTAGTTCCAACCTATAGCCTCATAAATATAATTCAATATAAATGTTAAAGCATTTTCCCCCCAAGAACAGGACTTTTTTGCGCTAAGAGGGACGCCAAGTGACCCAGCCACACAGCTTGTGGGAAGTAAAGCATTTTTAAGGTAGGATTGAGTGTTAGGTTTCCCCCACTCCTTTGCTGTCACCTTCTAGGGTAAATTTCTTGAGATTGTCAATTTCTTAACTCCAGGAGGCTTGCGCTGGAGATACCAAAAATTCTATATAGATCATTTTGACAGCATGATGGTAGTGGTGAGGGGAAAGGCATGTGGTTGAGAAATTCTGTGTTGATCTCTCCCATGAAGCCTTATTATACCTTCCCCACCAGTTCTCTCCTCATGAAATATACTGGAAATACTCGATTTTGTACATATAAAAGAGTAAGATTGTTATTCCTGTTGAAAATGTAGGTCCTAGTTTATCTTTTTAAAAAAAGTAATTGCTTTTGCCTTTTTCTTCCTAAAACACCTCCATCCACAGGTTTTTCTTAGACTGAAGTGGTATTCCTTCCATGGGAGTTACTGAAAATAAACAGTCCTTTGTTCCCTTGTCCACTGTACATGTAAAAGCATTTCCCATTGACTCTTAACAGATTGATTTTAAATGTGTATGTCAGAAATTGCAGAATTCCTTGAAGTTCATGGTTTCACCAGTGAAAATCTACTTGAATCATTTTAGACTAGGGAGTAACAGACTAACTGCTAGGTTACTGAAATTCCACCAATGAATCTTTACTCTTAATGGGCAGCTTGGATGACAGCTGTCCACCTAGACTTAGCAATATGAAGCAAAATTAAGGAGCTTTTTTAGTGGGTTTCATTTGAATACGGAGTGAATGGTGATGGTGTATTCTGGAGGGTTTTCTCTTTTCACAGTAACAAATCCATAGCTGTACTGGGGCTGTGTACTACTATACATGATTGTGTGACTTACGGAAGTGGTCAAAAAATACTTCCCCACTTGTAAAATTAACCATGGCACTATCAGCAGCTATGTAAAATACAGTTTTTCTTTTTCATGTACTTTATTCTGGCACTTAAAATCTCCACTCTTACTTGAAAGGGTGATGGTACTGAATGGATGTCAACTCCTTAATGGATGTTAACTCCTTAAATCAGAACCTAAAATTTTAATATTTGTTTCCAGTCCCCCGAAGGAGTGAATAACTTGGTGATGTGTGTAAGGCTATCTAGAGGGACCAGTGTCTCACAGAATGTTTATGGTTCTGTTAGTTTCTAGAACTACTATGCATTTTATATATATTGAATTTGGGGTGCTATAAAGATCAAATATAAGTGGACTGTTTAAGGGTATTTCCAGCCTGTAACCATTTAAATATCTGAGTGAAATAAGCTGGAGTCAAGTTTGGACTAACCTGGCTGCTAAGGGGAAATTAATGTTTTATACCATTATTTTTAAGGTATTATCCAGAACGTTTTAGAAGTTCACTTAGAGGCAAGCTTACTGGAAATAAATTACAATATAGACTCAACCCTCTTAATTGAGGGGGGGAAATATTTTCTCTGTAAATTCCATTCTAGTTAGGTTCCTGGCATGGCCAACAGTGGGAGAATGGAAAAAATTGGATAACTGGTAATCCAGATAGCTCTTGACACTGAACAACCTCAAGTACAGCCATCCAAGTATAACTGCTACGTTACTTATGTTTAACTGTGAAACTTGTTACCTGTCTGTACCCTTGAAATTTAATAAAATTTCATGAGACTCCTTGTTAATGGAAAGAAAAACGACGACTGTTAGTTGATGTATGCTGGACTTCCTTAGGGCTCAGTAAATATTTTAAGACTTGTGCCTCTGGATTTTTTTTCTCCACTCTTCTTTGTGTTTGTATGGTGTACATCAAATGTACTTTGGATTCATCCCCAGATCCAGTGTTTCCACTACATAAAATAGTATGCCTTGTACATCTGACCTCCAAAAGTTCCCTCTTTAAATACTCCAGTGTCATTCTGAATCCAAACGTTAATAACCACCCGTGTACATCTTATTGGTTCACTGATACCTATCTGTATGAGCAGTTTAACCTGCCTTTGACTTCTATGTGTTCTCAGTCAGCCTTTTTTATTTATATTTGCCACTGCATCACATAGAAGAACTTGAGTGACGTTTCATGTGGCTTGTAAAAGTACAAGAGATTCTACTTAAAAGGTTTATCAGTGTAAATTTTAATTAATTTCAGTGAAAGTTTAGAGAGACTTTGGATTTTCATTCAGTGTGTGTGTGTGTGTCCCCACCCAATACACTCCACTCTTGGAAAAGTAAAAGATTCATTGTTTTACAGTCCCTTCACCTAGGTCCACTCCACTATGCAGCCTTCGTTGTGGACCCCTGTCATGACAAAAATAACTAATCACATACCCCTTAAAAACAGTTCTCCCCCACATGTGCAAAACACAATACACAATATATACCACATCTCTCGGGCTCCCCCCAAAACCGAGATCACACCCCTGTTATAAAACAGGCACAACACACAATATGTCTCTTTGTGACACAGATGCTTCACTCAGCATAATGTCCTCCAGCATCACCCATTTTTTAATATTGCATGAGTTCCTGGTTTTTCAATATCTAAAATTTACTCAAAAGGATGGAAGACCCCTACACAAAGATTGCATAAAGACCCAAGTAGATCAATAGTCTCGTAACATACACAAATATGCCCCAGTTTAAACTAAAAAAGATACTAAACTGAGGGAAGAAAATAGAGACGACCTGCAGACAAATGACCGATTTCTCTGAGTGAAAATCTTGATAGAAACATGAACCCATTAAAGGGTAACCATGGAGATTTTAAGACAAAAATATTTAAGAACACGAATGAGCAG